GTAATTATTTAATATTAAACTTGGTAAAAAAATATTATAAGATTTCATCAATGAAAACATGTATATGATAAGGAATGACCTCAACTAACCAGATATTTAATTCCAGCAAGCAATAAATAGTGGTTATTGTCCTAATATGAAACTTTCCATCAATAATGAATATTTTTAATCAAGTCACAAATCATATCCCAAACTCTCAGAGTATTCCCATGTTGAGTGAGTCAGTAATGTTAGTTGATTTCAAATCCAACTAACTTTATCCTAAAAATAATAATTTATTTAAATTTACAATAATTATTTACTAAAATATATATATATATATATATATATATATATATATATATATATATATATATATATATATATCAGTTAACAATTGATTATGCATTTGAACAGATACTAAAAGAAACATGAACAATGTATAGGAAATACAGTTGTTGATTCAAATATTGATTAGTTCGAGTTAAATATATGAAGTGGGAAAATGATAACTATCGTTAATACTACATCAGACTATAAATGAGGGAACAGTACTTCACTTAATAGGGAGTGAGGAGGAAAATAAAGCAGTGAGTGTAAACAGAAAACGAATGTAATGTACAAAAATATAGATTAATGATACTTACGTTTAAGTAAGATCAGAAAGTAAACTTGACAGCTTTGAAAGTTCGTGAAATTGTTCAAAAGTTTCCTCAAAATACGAGGAAAATATGTCAAAACTGGTTGACCAACTCTATCTACTAAGACGTGTCACAAGTGCTCAACCACCTCCTGCCTAGAGGCGTAATTCTAGATGACTAATGAATAGACCATAAAATGTTGGGAGAGGTTAGAACAAGCATCAGTCTGTCAAACAACAGACTAGGACTGAGCCGTATATATAAAAGCTGGTTAAGGTTTGTATAAAAACCATCATTAGTGATAAAAGGTATCGGAGCGCTAGCAGCTGAGTACTAAAATTCATACTTACACATACTTTGCTCATTTGTGCTGAGCACTACGACCAAATAATCGTTTAATAATCAGTCTATTCAAAGGTCTGTCCAAGGTTAACGAATTATTATAACTATAAACTGAAAAGGATAACTAATTTCACAGCTGTTAGCATCAAAATGTTTACCTGTATGGCAGATTGCTAAACAGAGCATCACTGTCTGAAAATGTGTCAGCAAACAGAAAGTACACATACATTCTTCATATGCATACTCCATAGAGACTTGTTACTTCATCCTAGAGGATCCATTGAAAGTCTACCAGTTCGATGTTTTAGCACATTCTGCACACACTCGTTTAGGATCTAGTGTTTTCTTTTAAAAAATGATTTCATTGTGTAAAACGATAGAATTGTATTTTTTTTTTAAGATCGAAAAGGTTGGAAAATTCGCAAACAAAACTTTTATTCCCCATATGCTTTTACTTAAATATATGTAAGTACCATAAAGAATTATGTAAAACATTTGTTGAGTTGATGACTGAGCGGAAAAGACTAGGTTCATATGCGTCTCAAACAAGTAATCTCTAAGTTTAGTTACATAATCATTAAACACTATTAAATGACATCATCACTTCTATAGCCAAACACTAATTATCAAAAATATGATTACGAATGAGGAATTAAACTATGATATTAAGTATGAACCACGTTAGGTAAATGAAGCAGTTACAGACTGTTAAAACTACTTTCGAAATCTTAAAATTCATAACGGAAACTAAGATTTCGCAACTAGTTAAATTGACTAATTAGAACTTTCTCTGTAAAATGTAAAAACTAACTTTTGAAACATTGCTTATTTAAATGTTGGTTCATATCAGTGGCTAGTTTTGAAACAACCAATTCACCATGTGACAGAGCGCAATTTATTATATGATTTTATTAAGCCTTATGAAATTCGTTGGATATAAGTCAACAATAGGAATCACCTTAGTACTAACTTTGTATAGGCTTTCAGAACTAATCATATCGATATACCATTTGATTAGAAAGATATGTTTGGACAAATTAATAACTGATTAATGAAGCTTTAATTTCTTTGTGGAAAGTTTAAATTCTTTAAACTGTTTAATATTGAATCACATATCTAATTTTTTGTTCTTATTTACTTTAATAAAAGTAATACGTTTAGTAAGTGAAAAACACTATTTCAATACCGATCGGTCCTGTTTTTCCTACGTCATTTTATTACGGAGGCGTGTATCAACATCAAGCACTGATTATTCAACTACTCTGTATCATGAGGTTTCATTCATCATACGGAATTCCCGTCGTTTTTTATCATCTTAAAGTGTGCATAGTTCAAAAAATCTTCAATTTATATAAGAGATTCTTTAGAACGAATGTTGAGCTTTAAACCCTCATATATTGAACAGAGATAACAAACTTTCACAAGATACACATAAAATTAGAATATGTACTAAGAGTAATTAGTACTCTCTTTTTGAAGTCATTATATATATCAAGTTTCATTCCATTAAATTTCAAGTCAAGTTTTCTTGTGAATGAAAAAAACCAAGGGTAAAATAGTATTTGATCTCAAAAAATTAGTTATAAGGCAATATCGGACAGTAGTCAGCTTATCATATCAATAGAGTAGCTAAACCGGAACCTAAGATTGCTCAACACCGAAGGGTGGGTGGTCGCCACATAGAAAAAACAAACACGTAAAATGGTTTCAAAAATAATAAACCAAGTATCTAAGCATTGCCTACCAACAAAGTTGATTGAATAGCGAACACAACAAATATTAGGCGCGTTAATGTTACATAATAGTCTGTAGTTATTTGGTTTTACAGAATAAACTGATCAGATATTGCAAATAGTGACAGAATTATTAACAAAGGGACGACGTAGACGATTTCTCACAACAGATACATTTGAAAGTTCAATAGAATCAATTGATGAACATTCCAACTGTGGTAATATCATTTCCTTACTCAAATCCCACTACCCTATTAAAACATAAGAGGAAACTAATTCTATAAACCATTGCGTGAGAACCTACCACTGCAACGGACGTAATATAAAATCCTTTTTTTAAATGCATTTGCTATAATAAAGAAAGAGGTAAATATGAATCCATTTTCTAATAGATTTGTAATTAATTTAATTACATCAATTCATCGATTACATGTTTACAGTAAAATCACACACAAAACTAATACAGAACCAGTTCCAGTAAACAAAAACAAGTCGATTTGCTTTATAAATTGGTTACCATAAGTGGGCTAAATAATACTATGCAATGAAATATCAGTCACATTGATAACATGATCCGACCACCGAAAGCGATTATCCTGAGTTAAATATAAAATTGAAGATGACATAACAGTACTATAAACGGATTCACAAGCGCAATCGACCAAAAGCATTGGACACTTGTCTAATTATAATATCAGCCTGCAATGAAAATATTAATATTTGACAGAATACATCGAAACCATATGAACAGCTGTTTATTAGCTAAATACTTGCAGTATAATAGGGAGATTTTGATTTAATTAACCTGTTATTATAATGATAACTTAAATTGTCCTACTGTAGGTTTTGTGTGCAAACCCATAAATTAGGTGCATGAAAAAAATAGAGAAGAAAAATAAACAAGCCGAAGCTGACACAATTTCAACAAAAGAGCCATTATTATCACTCACTACACACACAAAAAGATAAACTATACAAATAACTTTCAATCATTAGGACGTAAATTATTCAGCAACCAAAATAATAACGCTTTCTATTGTTTTATTTTTGATGTTAAAAAAAGGTAAAGATAATAAAACAGTAGGAGTAGAGGTAAAAAAAAAACAAGTAAAATGTAGGATCAATAAAGTACGAGAGCATAGTGCTACATCAGTTTTAACATAACTAGATTTGTTAAAACTGAAGCAAAATCGAATGTTACTGTAATATAAATTTCCGTAAAAAACCAAAAATTTCTTCGTACATGTACACAAATGGATGTATTGATTATCGGACAGTAAAGATAAGAAAGAATACAGTTCCAAGTAAAAATCACGTAAAAACTACATCAAAAAGAAGAAACATAAAGATGATTAATTTTTGTTTCAAAATGAACAGAGATTAACAGAATGAGAAAGAGTGTAACACGTGAATGAATTGTATAAACACAGTGGAGAAAAAACTCCACTAAAACTGAAGAACTAGCACATACGTTTACATGTACAATAATTTAATATTGTAGCCGATTTATAATCAGATAAAATTATAACATAAAATGATACTATCTTTACAAATGATGACAATTTTATAGATATGAACACCTAACTAATACTAGAAACTTTTCTGTTTCATAATTTACTAGTGATACTGTTGATTAATACTGTTAATTTGATTGGTATGAACACTGTGGACAACAGCCACGAGTCACAATGTGAACTGTTAATAGGATTAAATTTAGAAGATAAACCGTCGACAAAAATCAGCAGATAGTTGAAAAAAGGCAGTGGCAAAACATAGCGTACAATAATGCTTTGATTTATGACAGTGAAGTTCATTATTTACGCAAAATTGATTAGCAAAATTGAAAAGAAGTGAGTGGAAAAAATGTACCAACACAACTTGATGTATTAGAACAGAGATAATTATATGCAATAAACACATGGTAGGTTTTCAATAACAAAAATCCCCATCATACATATAATATGACAGCACCGGTGTGCAACGATACTGAAATTTTTCACTGAAATAAGGAAATATAAGGTATAAGTGTGTATATATGCTTAATAACAGAGAAGAGATTGTCCTCTCGTAGTTCATCATGTTATCAAATAATCAGAAAATAAAACCCATTCAATCTGGATGATGTAATAATAAATGTTTAACAAAGATTCCATTTTTATTTAATCACACTTTCACTCGAAATAAACAAATAAATCAAATTAAATTAATTGTAAGCAGAGCAGGTGATGAGTAGTAAAAACAGGAAGAAAATATCATAATTATTGCAGAAGAGAACAAAATTTTTTTTTTGAAATAAAAGTAGAATTTAAGAATAACGACTGTGTGCAGCAGCAATCGATTGGTGATAAGTTGTAGTGTTACCACTGCTACAAACTGGCAGAAAACACGTCGATGATACCGATGATAATGTGGTAATACTATTTGTTGTATCAGGCATAACATTATTATTATTATTATCATCACTTTCATAAGTGATCACTGGTTTAACACCAGGATGAATAAAAGGTTGAGTAAGAAAATGTTTCTCTTGTTCATTTTTAAATATTGGATGACTACCATAATGCTCAATGAGATCATCAATACAAGTGAATACTTTTTGACCAATATGATATTGTCCTTTTTCAACGTGTACTTTAAAATTTCTTGTTTTATTGCCTGCATTGATAGTGACAGTTAGATCACCAGGCTGTTGTTTAAAAACCAGTTAGGAATAAATAAGAGAAAAGAAAGAAACACAAATTTAGCTTTATTGTGTATTTATTCTATGTTTACAACAATATAGTAAAATTAATTTATTTAGCTAAATTAAACATGTACTGAAATGTTACTAAACAAAAGTAGTATTATAACATGAATTTTTTTAACACTTCACATGCTGTGAAGTTGATCAGTCTATATTTTGTCATGTTACACATATATAAAACTCATTTATGAAGTTTAGAGGTTTAAAAACTCATAAGAATCAATGGTATTATTCATCTACTTAAACTAAAGTCGATGAAAAGAGTTTCGGATGTTTCACCAAGTGGTTAAAAGCTAACACTTTGAATCAGTAAGTTACTATACATATTCATAAGAGGTATTAAATGATTCATTCAGAAAACAAAGATATGTTATCATACAAAATGAGTAAAACGTATTCAATCAGTCAGTCGCCTACAACGCAGAACTTTGTACGTACGTACGTCAGTTCAAATTGCCATACCACATTAGCACAGAAACGCAGTCGTCAATTCAAACCTCATAGTAGGAAAGGTAGAAGAAGTAACAACATTAATCGGAGAGATTAAGTTTCGAAGATATTAGTTAAGGAGTGTAATCTAATGGAATAAATTCGAGAGGAGGAAATTGACGATCATGAGGAATTCAGATTAGAATTTGAGAGAACACAAAGAATGGATGCACCTGACCCATTGCAAACGATTATGAACCATGTCATTCACAGTCCTTAATCATCGGTTAGTATTGTCTCGCGGACCTGAACCAGGTAGTCTACATCTACCAACATGACTAACTCCGCTTGTCAGTGACTGTTAGGATATTCATCCAATATCCTAAGAGAATTATTGGTCGACTCCTATTGGTTAATTCCTACTGGTCGTCCTAGATATCAATGTCACGTGCTCCAATGTTGTTTCTTATTGGTTGTCCTGACTATCAATATCTCTTAAAATGTTGCTCCTTATTGGTCGTCTTAACTGTCAATGTCACAGACCTCGATGCTGTTTCCTATTCGATCTAAATGTATAAATACGCATTACCTGTAACGTTTTATGACCAGGACCCGGTCACGGATCCCGATTCTTTTCTAGACTCGGACCTCGTACTTTCTGGATGCTTGTAGAATACAGGTTCTACTTCATATCAAGCTTTCTTCTTTTGTTCAATGGGAGTTGGGATAATCGGATTAAGTAGCATGTCGTGTCGCCGGATCCTTGATCCTCGCTCTCGTATTCCAACTAAGGTAAGCTCGTAATAGCTTCAAGCTTACCTACTGACGAACCTAACAGTGACTTCGAAGATTTTCACCAGGTTTTTATCAGGCCACGCCTAGCTTTCTTCCAGCCTACCCCTACATCATACAACATCGATCGTTGACGCGATGGATGGTTAGGTGTATTCGTATTACGTGCCCCAACCACCTCAATTGACGAATATTCACTACTTTATCAACTGGTCTATCATCCATAAATAGTACCCGTTTTCTAACGACCGCATTGCTTACTCGGTTGTCCCACGATACGCGAGCAACGGTTGATCGAATACTAGTAACTTGGGAATATCCTCAACTCTTAGTGGCCATGTTTCACAGCCATAGACTAGGATGGAGAGAACTGCTGTGCAGTCAACTATTCCTTTGGTCAGCGAAGGAATATCTCGCTTACGCCATAAGTGACACAAGTTGGTAAAAGCCAATCGAGCCTTCTGTATCCGTGCTGAGATCGCGTCACACACCAAGCCATCAGCACTGATAAGTGAAGCAGTCAACACGCTCAACTGCTTCCCTCTCTATCACTAGGTTCAGGTATTGAAGCAAGCCAATCCTGTGACAACATTTCACATTTCGAGGGGGAAAATCGCATCCCGAACATACTAGCATTGTTTCTTCGGGTAGTCAGAACTATATATATATATTGATTTTTATGCTTTCCCAGCTGAAATATTGGTCTACGTTAGATGACCTGTCTGAAATATAAAAAAGAGAATTACGCCAATTTTCTTTTGTCATAAATCACGTCTTGGAATTCAACAAAATAATAAAAGCCTCTTTATTTGGACTACTACTATATCAATTTCAAAAATGTTTAGTGGTAGAACAGTCGGTGTGATGACTGTACCCACACTCCTAAAAAAAAGTGACCTGTAATTTTCCCAAATATTCTTTGTTATGTTATGCATCTATCTGTGAACATTTTGCAATTATTAATCAATCAATTAATTATTACTTATTAATTTGTAATTAATAATTACATTTTTAAAGTGGATTAGTCTAATATGAGAGAAAAAAGTTATCTCAACAAGAGAGTAACAATGTCCAATATATATTGAGTTACAGACAATAATAAAATGAATATCCTCGGTTTTGAGGTAATTACCATGTGATAAAGTGAAACTGACAGGAAAATTATTAAAACTCGTGGTTTTTTCAACAATCTGCGCACAACTAAGATATTACATGAAATTTAAACAATAAATTTCAGTTTTCATGATAAGCGCCACGACACTCAATCAATAAGTGCAAAACGCAATAGCTAACGTTTCCAAATTTGACTAAAACAAGAACAACAAACTTTTTCGGTTTGAGTCTTTTATGTAATAGCTTCTGTAAAGCGCAATAAATTTAGAGTTCTTTGTTCATTTATTATCGTTTGAGATTTTGAATTACCGACACCATGTACACCGTTCAGCAGTGGTGAAATTCCTCATCATTTGCTTGACAGTGAAAATAATATTATAGAATCAACTAGCATCAAAACTAATTCACGCTACTCATTAGGACTTACATGGGATTCACAGTCTCTTACGATAAATTCACCAAGTAAAGAATATTTCCTAAGCATTTCTTCACATTCAGCACGTGAAATAATGCCCCAGAACCATGGTCGATTTATATGTAAACGACCTGTACTAGACTGCGTAGCATAACTTAGCCTTAATGTTTCCCCATCAGTAGTCTGTGACTTATTTGTGACAGTATAGCTTGAACTGGTCACAGACATCTGGTTAGTTTGAATAGGATGGCTAAAATTTGAGGACTGACAAGATGATGGTTTATGATTTGAACTGAATGATTTGCCTAGTGTAGTAGTTGCTGTCGATGATGTTGTTAGGACACGAACATAATTCTGTGGTACCAGACCACTTTCACCACGGGCATTACGACAACGCCACCAATCTGGGTCGTCGGGAGGTTTATCAAGTACTTCCAGGACCTCATTTGCACCAAAAGACAACTCTTCTACTTGATTACGTACAAATGGATAAAGAGTTAGGACAGTTTCACGCTGAAGCTGCTGCTGACCCCGATAGCAAGGTGGATTGACATTATCATTACGTAACGATTGCGATTGTTGGTGCATCTGTTGCTGGGTTTCTGTCATAGAACCAGGACTCAAGGAATGTTGTTGTTTTTTTTGCTGCTCATAGTACTGAAAAGCCAAATAGTTAGCTTGCATTTGGTCTTGAGTATTTGAAATATTTGGTACGGATGAATCATTTAAATCACGATTAAGTGAATTTGAATTTAATATACTGGGTTGTGAACTACTTCCAGATCTAAAAGTATAAGTAAAAAATAAATCTTTAGTAATCTGGTGGACATATTATGCTTGTTGATCATGATATGGAAAGCTTGGTGACAAAAATATTACTAGTTCCACCTAGATTTTCAAGATGAATTTTAAGTTACAAGACTGTAGCGGCAGTTAGAGGGTTGAAATAAAAACCTAGAGCTTTTAGTCAACTGATATTGATAACTCATGTTTGATTAAACCATTGGCCGTTAAGTAAATAGTCAATGCAAAATAAAACACTCAATGGGTAAATGGATTTCGATTTTCTTTTCATTACTTTCACCTAGCAGCCTGCTAAACATAGCAGTCTAACCAGTATAAACTTTTAAAAGCAGCCGAAAAAGCTACAACACAATATTATCTTCATTTTTAATTACTCCTTGCTCGAATTAGAAGTGCTCCCTAACAGTTACTCAAGTTAAAGAAAGGTTATGACAATAAGAGAACTTTAGGGAATAGTGTAGTATAAATAAAAATAATTTAGACCGGTTTTTACGAATCGTTTACAGTCTAGCAGACCGAGTATATGCATGTAAAAAGAGTGTGGCTTGTCTAATAATAGACGGTCCTCTTCAGTAATATTTGTCAAAACGAAAACAGTGTATTTTCTAAAATTATTACAGATATGTAAAAAAGCAAACATCGTGGGTTTTTAAGATAATCCTTAATATGAATGGAAAAAGAATAACATTTTTGTTTAGTAGTTTCGGAATTAACTCCGCCAGTAGTCCCTTCGGGGCTACTGCCGGTCCCAAGCCCGGATAAAGGAGGAGGGGTTGGACATGGGGTTGGTGCCCCCATCCCAACTAAAACTAACTTGCCAAAAAAACGCTAACCAGAAAAAATCGTTCAAACCATTTTAACTCTGCCCTCACAGTTGGAAGAAGAATTATGACGTCTCGTGATGAAAGCCGAGTTCCCTCGGAAGTCACGGGGCCGATGCCTCTTCTGACAACCAGAGCAACCATTCTTTTAGGTACATGGAACGTCCGTACATTGTGGGAGACTGGAAGACTATTTCAAGTTGCGGCAGAAGTGAAAAGATACAACCTCGAGGTGCTCGGCATCAGTGAAACACACTGGACACAGGAAGGACAACTGAGACTAGCTTCAGGGGAACTGCTGTTATACTCTGGTCATGAAGAGGAAAATGCTTCACATACACAAGGCGTTGCACTGATGCTGTCCAAACATGCACAAAAGGCACTGATAGGATGGGAATCTCATGGACCAAGGATCATTAAAGCGTCCTTCAAAACAAAGAAAGAGGACATTACAATGAACGTCATCCAATGTTATGCACCTACCAACGACTACAATGACGACGTTAAAGATCAATCCTACGAAAGGCTGCAGTTATTCGTCGAGAAATGTTCACCAAAGGATTTGACGATTCTGATGGGAGACCTGAATGCCACGGTTGGAATCAACAACACTGGATATGAAGACATCATGGGACGACATGGACTGGGAGAAAGGAACGAAAACGGTGAGAGATTAGCAAACCTATGTGCCTTCAACAAACTGGTCATCGGTGGCACAAAATTCCCGCACAAACGCATACACAAATCCACATGGATTTCACCGGACCACACTACTCAAAACCAAATTGACCATATCTGCATCAACAAAACGTTCAGAAGGACGATAGAGGATGTGAGAACCAAGAGAGGAGCTGATATAGCCTCAGATCCCCACTTGCAGATCGCCAAAATGAAACTGAAACTAAAGAAGCACTGGACAACGAAGCAGACAACATCACATCTTCGGGATACCGTAAAACTCAACGAATTCAAGATAGCCCTCTCTAATAAGTTCCAGGCCTTGCACAATATACTCAATGGAGAGGAAGCGACATTGGAGAACAATTGGAAAGTGATCAAGGAGGCAATCACTTCAACATGTCACGAAGTTCTGGGTCGCAAGAAGTACCATCACAAGGAATGGATCTCTGTTGATACTCTTGCAAAAATTGTAGAAAGGAGGAACAAGAAAGCAGCAATCAATGTCAGCCGAACAAGGGCAGAGAAAGTTACCGCACAAGCTGCATACACAGAAGCAAACAGGGAAGTGAAGAAGATCATCAGAGCTGACAAACGAAAATATGTGGAAGATCTAGCAATGACGGCGGAAAAGGCTGCAAGAGAAGGAAACATGAGACAATTGTACGAAACAACAAAGAAGCTCGCCGGGAAACTATCGTAAACCAGAACGACCAGTGAAAAGCAAGGAAGGCAAAATAATCAGCAACACTGACGAACAGCGAAATAGGTGGGTAGAGCACTTTAAGGAACTCCTAAATCGACCAGCTCCTCTGAAGACACTCAACATCGAAGCAGCATCCACGGACCTCCCAATTAATATTGGCGCACCTACAATCAAAAAGATCAGTATGGCCATCAGACAAATCAAGAGCGGCAAAGCACCACGACCAGACAACATTCCAGCACAAGCAATGAAAGCAGATGTGACAGCAACTGCGAAAATATTTCATATCCTCTTCAAGAAGATTTGGGATGAGCAACAAGTGCCATCAGATCGGAAAGAAGGATACCTGATCAAAATACCAAAGAAAGGCGATCTCAGCAAGTGTGAGAACTACAGAGGCATCACTCTTCTTTCAGTACCAGGAAAAGTCTTCAACAGGGTATTGTTAACCAGAATGAAGGACTTCGTTGACGCCCAACTTCGAGATCAACAGGCTGGATTTCGTAAGGATCGATCGTGTACTGACCAAATTGCAAGAGAAGACGACCAGTGTAGCAGCAGCCTCTGCAGCAGTAGGTCTCAACATACATAAAGGAAAAAGCGAAATTCTCTGATGCAACACAACATGCACCAACCAAATCACGCTTGATGGAGATGCCTTGGAGGACGTGAACACCTTTACATATCTGGGCAGCATCATCGATCAGAAAGGTGGATCCACTGCAGATGTGAGGGCGCGGATTGGTAAAGCAAGGACTGCATTTCTACAGTTGAAAAATATCTGGAACTCCAAACAACTTTCAACCAAAACCAAAATCAGGATTTTCAATACAAATGTCAAGACAATCCTACTGTATGGAGTGGAAACATGGCGAACTACCAAAACCATCATCCGGAAGATACAAGTGTTTATTAACAGTTGTCTACGCAAAATATTTCGGATTCGTTGGCAAGACACCATCTGCAAAAACGTACTGTGGGAGAGAACAAACCAGATTCCAGTGGAGGAGGAAATCAGGAAGAAGCGGTGGAAGTGGATAGGACACACACTACGAAAAGCACCTAACTGCGTCACGAGACAAGCCCTCACATGGAACCCTCAAGGCAAAAGGAAAAGAGGAAGACCAAGGAACACATTACACTGAGAAATAGAGAAAGATGAGAGGAATGAACAAACATTGGACAGAACTGGAGACGGAAGCCCAGGACAGAGTTGGTTGGAGAAAACTGGTGGGCGGCCTATGCTCCATTGGGGGTAACAGGCGTAAGTAAGTAAGTTACGGAATCGGATTCGAAATATTGAAAATACTGACTGAAGACTGGATTTATTAAATCGATGGCAACAGTAATCGTGAAGCAACTAATAATGATAACTGTTTTGTGCCCAAATGTCTTCAGCAGTTTAAATGACTTGAAAAAATAATTTATGAGCATTTCTAAAAAAAATGTCAATGTATTCATTTATTAACGTTAAATGTTGATAACCATTTATTTCAGAACATTTTACTAATTTTCCATAGCTTTCATTGAAACTTACAAACAATTTGGTTCCTCCGTTAAGAAGAAACTCAACTTCCAGAACTAAAATAGTGATCTAATTCAATTTTAAATGGTTTGAATTATCCCATTGTTGGTATTTTTGACGGAAATATGATCAGTCATTGTTGACAGATAGACGTCCTATGCGGACTGACTCGATATAGCATCTAAGACACAAGTTTATACAGAATGGATACAATAACGGGATAATCCAAACCCTTTTAAATTGAATTCAATCGCATACCCGTTGCTCAAGTGAGTAACTATCTGGACTCAACAGCTAAGTGGATAACGTAATGGTGTTTGAAGTAAACGAAGTGCAGGTACTACCAGCTAACGAGTGTCAAAACATGACGAAACGCACGTTCTGGATTCTACTGCTAGCCACTCTATATAAAATAGTGATCATTATACTATTTACAAGTGCTTCTTCAACTAATGGCGGCCTGCTTGAATATTTGAGTTACCCATTTTCTAACATCATAATATTTCAACAAATCAACCTTTTTCTGTTTATCCTCACACATCAATCATGTCTAATAATCGCATAATCTATTCAGGCACCTATATAAGGAGTTTAAAAGCTATCGATTTACGAGGTATAAAAAAGAACAATCTGAGACATCACGGTGGCTGTTGAGAAAAGAATGAACGTTAATAAAATGTCGATTCCTGAATTGCTTACTTCCAAATGCTGTTTTGTAAAGTCAATTTGTTGAAATATGCCGTGCTGAGAATTCCATGTTGTACTAAACATGTAACATTGAATAAAACCACTATTATTATTATTATTCTAACACAGGATTTGGAATTTTTAAGATCAAACGACTAAGTGCAACTTTCATAATTCAGTGCAAATCACATATATATATTGCATGGAGCAATAAGCGATATAAATACACACACAAATAAATTAATTCGCACGTTTACTGTTTTTAACGCGTATAAAATAACAGATTTATTTGTTTTATCGTATATACTACTAATGACTTAAAAATTGATGAAACAAACAGCAAATTGATTGCATGTATTATTTATATTAGTAATATTAGTTTATTCAATAATTGATGAGTTAGTTTCATGTGTATTTTGATTAGTTGAGAGTTTAATTAAATAGAATACTTTCATTTTCATTCCTTTATTTAGAGATGTATTTTCACCCCTTTTATAAAGTAGATTTTTAAAGGTTTGTACACTGGCATATATATATATATATATATATATATATATATATATGTACGAAAAGTAAATAAACGGCGCTGTTTAGGATATCGTGGTCTTTTTTTAATATAAACAAACATATATGGTTCGTTGAAAAAAAGAAATATCTAAAAATAAACGGATACATAATGATAATGACTTAATCAATAGAATATTCGGTCTACAATTTAAGTTCTACACACAAAATTCAGTGTAATGAATATGTATACTTTTTATTTAGCGTTAGTTATATGTGTGGGTGATAAAGTACAGGCAACACATTAAATGTTGTTGCAATAAGATTTGCCTGGCCAGTAGGAACCTAACTACGTTGATATGAAACTTAATATCATTGAGGTAATAGGCATAAGACTATTAGATTTTCTATTGTTCAACTAAATATCGACAACGATTAGTCATAAAACATCAATATTTACACAATGAAATAATGAATGAATCATTGTTAAACTACCACTAGAAACCTGGAAGCACTGGACGGCCGTTTAGTCCTGGTATGGGTATGCGCATCCACGACTCCTGATATTCTCGGGATCTGAACCCACGACTCTCGACCTTGCGCGCAAACGCCTAACCTCTGGACCATCATCCAACGCTGATAATGTCTAATTCTTATCAACCTAAGGAGTTCGCGCAAACTAAACCACTGTCTTTGGTTGTTACTGAGAACACCCGACAGGGTTGAACTCCACTGGTCGCGTCTTTTCACTAGAACTCCGAGAATTTCCTCACGAAGCTGGTCACTAGTGAGCATATTTTTTGATTTCATAACATAGTATTATGGAGACCATAGTTCATATACATTAAAATCATGAATGAATCGTTGTTAGACCAGTGCTTTCAGGTTTCGAATGGTGGTCTAACAATGACTCATTCATGATTTCAATGTGTAAAGACAATGATCTCCATAAAACTACAACGCACATTTACACTATATACTCAAGAATTTTATTCAAAATCTTAAAATTGCGTATTTTTCAGTATATATTTTCTAAACAGAATTATATTATTTGTAAACTTTAAAACAATAAACACAAATTTTAATGAAATCATGAATCGATCAATGTTAGACTGACTGACAATATTAGACGAGCATTGAAACCTGGAAGGAGATCGTGGATGAGCACTACCGAGGAGCCGTCCAGTGCTTCCATTTTCCAATGGTGGTTTAAAATTGGTCGATTCATTATTTCGATAAAACTCAACAATCTCCACAACCCTAAACCGATAATAAACATCAGTCATGAAGAAGTTAGACTTAAACATAGTTATATTTAGGAAACAGATATATGTGCATTTTATGAATTTCGACTCAAACTTCTAGACATGTTTTTAGTGTCGACATTACGAACCACGATAAACAAACTTTAGGAAAATGTTAGTCACTATTTTAGGAAATACTAACATCGATCTATTTTGAATAATCGTTTAGTTTTATTCGTATTATTCGTTCCATCTTGACAAAAAAATTTTTTTAGAAGATACAAGGTGGTACTGTAGTGAAGGAGAACACAGGTGAGGGCAACCGAATTGTATTTAACGAAAATTACAGAGTTACTCAGTAAAATAGGAAAACCATATCGTAACCGTTAATTTGCAAATCTTCAATCAATCATCAATCCATTGTCTGACATTTCACTATTCATGCGTTTCATACAAATTCCATTGTGTTCCCACTCTTCCTTTCTTGATCTTCCCCCATATTCTGCTGCCAGACATTACGTTTACACTCACGTCATATACTACTTATAAGTAGCGCGCACCACAGTACAACGTCTAAATCCATATATTAAAGCAAGTCAACAATACTTATTTGAACTGTTTGAACTATTTCATAATATGAAACCAAGTGTTTATCCCCTTTTTCTAATCCCAGAGATCATGTATGATAACCAATAAATGATATCGAATGACCATGCGATGAAAACTCGGCTACCACTATGCTTTAAAAGCTATATCAGTGATGTAGTTGGACCGTAAAATTAGCCATTTGTTAAACAAACAAAACTTTTAATTGCATTTAATAAATATTTACAGGCTCAGATGACTTAGAGGCTAAAACTTCCTACATAATTTGTCCACTACTTTTTATCTTCCTTTAAGTCAACTATAATTTTCTTTCAACTTTTCAGATACTTCCATCCTTAATTCACTCTCTTGTTTACCATACTTTTAATATTGTTCCGTTATTGTCAATTTATTTTTTACAGACTTAAAAAATTCATGTGGTTTTTTTATGACGAATGTCAATCACTTCGCGCTAATTTTTCTCCATAAACTAATAGATTACATTCACAAAGTCCTTTACATTTTTTCACTCGGATTGGTTTATTAAACTTTTTATGTTATTTTATTCAGTCCCATAGCTTCTGTTTTCCGCAACCCCACACACCTTGTTTCCAACATTACAGAAGAAACTACTACTGAGATCATAGTTTCGCCTAATGAATTTCAAAAGATTTCTAATGTAACATAGACACATTTAAAACCGGGCAACTGTCGGCCAATATGATAATAGAAGCTCAAAGAATTCATAGTCTATAAATAAAAAGCATAACTAAGTAGTAATATAAACTAGTGTTTCAAAGTGTATGTCGTATCTCAATAACAATATAAATGACACTAAATAGTCTTCAAGTACAATAATAATAAGGATTTCGCAACTCACCAAGTTCAAGTTTATATTCTCCACTACTAGATGCATTGTTCGTGTGGGGTAAGTGATACTATCAGAGTACCCACACTAAGATAGTTAAAGAGTTTGGGACATCCAACGAACAGTTCAAAAGTCAAGTGTTTTAACTGCTAATCAATGCTATATGGAATAAATAAACACTTTCACTGATTGAACCACCTAAGACCAGATTAAACTAATAGGCTACATATAGCATCCTCATACACTTATCTTAGATGTTTTCATTACAGAAATTGTATTTATTGATACGAATTTTGCAACAACATTACGATGTAAACAATGTATAACAGACTAAACGATCATAATAAATATTAATTTACGCTAGAGTTATATCAAGATAATACTGGAAGTGAAGAGAGATTTTTATTTTGATGGCATTCCACGGTAATGAAATTATGCTACGGATTAGGTAGGGACGAAAACACGTGTCCAACAATCCTTTCATATCATAAAGACACACTAGCTGATTATAAAATATCTTCAGACTGCAAAAATGAATAAAATATTACTAAGGGCTACATACCTATTCAAATTTTTCGTTAAATCTAATGTAACATAATTTGATGGAAACCATCCCATTCGTTGCGGTTTACCTTCAGTAATTAAAATTCCACGCCACCAACCATCTGAACTTTTTTCCAAAACACGAATTTTGTCGCCCCGTTCAATCGACAATTCATCTGGTTGACAAGCAGGATAATTGAAACGTGCTTGACATATTTGACGACCTAAACCAGTCCCAGTGCCAAAATATGATGTATTATCTAAATTTGCAGTCATAATATTAGTAGTTTGTTGGAATAGTGATAAAGACACATTTACAGCACCATGTCCATTTTGATAATTTGGTATAGATATATTTCCACCTGAGTGCTGATTATAAATAGTTTGAATGATAAAAAAAAAATTTGAACAAATTTAGCTAAGGCAATCAATAAATTTGTTGAAATCATACCCAGACATCCTACCTAGTATAACCTCTCTTTAATAACTATTCTAGACAGTTATACTAAAGTGTTGAATAATGATTAAATGAGAATTTATCACACAATCTGAATGCGATCTTCGCATAAATATAAAGGTTAACTTTTCAGAAGTCCCCATGAATTTTCTGGGACACTTTTTTGGCAAAACACCTTGTTTTGTAGAAAAAAGTATTTCTGATAATGTTAACATATACTTAAGTTCCCGAGATACACCACATTTATTAAGTAAGGCTAACACCTTTGAATACTTACATTTACAAGTCAGTCAGTTACAGCGTAGAACTTTGTACGCAAGTAGCCAAGTTCAGGATGCCATACCACATTGGCACTAAGAGATGTTGAGTGGACGAAGGTCAGTTCAAATCCCATAGTGGTACAGTCAGTCAGTCAGATGCAACGTAGAACTTCGTACGTAAGTATATCAGTTCATGTTGCCATACCACATCAGCACAGAGATGTAATTGTCAATTCAAATCCAATAGTAGAAGAGGTAGTTAAGGTATTAGAAGTAATCGGAGAGGTTAGGATTAGAAGATATTTTTCAAGAAGTATGATTCAGTGAGAAAAGTTTAGAAAGTCAAAACTAGAGGTGTTGAAGAATCCAGAACATTAGGATTTGAAAGAGCACAAAGAATAAATGCACCGACGCCATTGCGAACGATTTTGAGCCATGTCATTCAAGGTCTCTAACCATCGATTATTATTATCTCGTGGACCCCAACCAGGTAGTCGACAATTACCGACATGGCTAAGTCTACTCGTCAATGACTTCACGGATTTTTGCCATATTTTGGTCTGGCCGCCCCTAACTTTCTTCCAACCTACTCCTACACTACAAAACAAAGCTCTTTGAAGCAGTTGGTGGTTAGGCATACGCAGCACATGTCCCAACCACCTCAACTGATGAAGTTTCATTACTTCATCTATTGACCTGCCATTCTTACGTAGCACCCGCTTCCTCATAACAGCGTTGCTCACTCGGGTGTCCCAGAATATTTGAGCAATGCTTCGGAGACACCTATGATCGAAAACTAGTAACCTACAAACATCTTCTACTCTCACTGGCCATGTTTCACAGCCATAAAGTAAGACGGAGTGAACTACTGCGCAGTACACTCGTCCTTTAGTCAGCAAACGGATAACTCGACTACGCCATAAGTGACGCAGGTTGGCAAAAGCCAATCGAGCCTTCTGTATCCGAGCTGAGATTTCGTCAGTCACCAGGCCATCAGCACTGATGAGACTCCCAAGATAAGTGAAGCGGTCAACACGTTCGACTACTTCACTCCCTATCACTAGTTCAGGTGCCGACGCAAGCCAATCTTGAAGCAATATTTTGCATTTCAAGGGGGAAAACCGCATCCCGAACATGCTTGCGTTGTTCCTCAAGGTGGTCAGAAGACTCTGCATTTTGTCAGCGTCTTCACCAAGTAGGACTATGTCATCGGCATATTCTAAGTCGATAAGCGTGCCCTCCTGGTAAAAGGTCTACTCCTGAAAATTCAGACGAGGATAAGGTTATTTCTAAGAGCATGTCTATGATAAAATTAAACAAGAATGAGGAGAGTGGACATCCTTGACGGACATCACTTGATGTAGAGAATTCCGGTGACATTTCGCCATAGGCTCTCACCCAACCAGTGGCGTTCGAGTAGAGAGCTTGTATAAGGTTAATGCACTTCTCTGGTACACCTTTCAATGACAGACACTGCCACAGAACCTCACGATCAGCAGAGTCAAATGCCGCTTTTAGGTCCAGGAACACAACTATTGTAGGACGCCTAAATGTATGCCTGTGTTCCAGGACCTGTCTTAGTGTGAAGATGTGGTCTATACATCCACGTCCAGGTCTGAAACCAGCCTGGTTTTCTCGAGTCTGCTCTTCACGAGCACTAGTTAGGCATCTAAGTATAATCGAGTCTAACAATTTAGAAACTATATTAGTTAGACTTATTCCCTTGTGATTGTCACAAGACTTTTGTCCTTTTCTATAGATTGGGAAAATCAGTGATTGAGACCAGTCGGATGGGATTACGTCCAGTTCCCAAATTCTACCTAAGATCTCGGTCAACCTAGCTGCTAAAACTGGAGCACCATACTTAAATATCTCAGGCGTAAAACTATCAGGATCTGCAGCTCGCCCTCGCTTCAGATTTCCTAACGCTTTCTCAACTTCATTAAGACTAGGGGGACTTACGTCGATTAGCCATTCAGGATGACTGGAGATCGTGGGTAACCGAAGAGTGGCTCGAGGCCAGTTGAACTGATCCCTAAAGTGTTCTGCCCATCGGTCCAGTCTCCTGGATTCAGGATGGATAATAAGACCATCATTTTCCAAGATAGTCTCACTTAAACTAGGATTCCTAATATCAGTTTCCTTGATAAGTCGGAAAAGTTGTCTACTATTGCCTATAGCCCCTGCCTTTGACATCGCTTTTGCTTTCGCCACCCACCACTGTTCACGGTCGTTGCGCAGGCTTTTTATCAGCCTGCGCCTAAGCTGGCTTCGTTCTTCATCATGTTCAGAGCCAGGTGGGATGAGTTTTCGGGCATCCATCAGATCGGTGGATGCTACTGAGATCCACGGCTTCTTTGTAGCCTTATGTTCAACATTACTAGCAGATATCACTGCTGTTTCCACAGCCTTTTTGATATCATTTCAAGCTGCCTCCGCATGGGAATCACTTGCATGGTTGCCTAACTCTCTCTCTAGTTGCTCCTAAAATATATTCACAGCTTTATTACCATTAAGTAAAACCTTAAGAGGCTTTCTTACGATGTCTTTCCTACGTCCAGTAAGCCTCAAACAGATACGCGCTCGCACTAGGGCATGATCTGAATCTAAACATGTGCCCCAGAACGAGTGACAGTCTTCTATCGAACCCCTCCATCGGTGGCTGATGGCGATGTGATCTAGTTGGGTCCAACGTTGAGACGACTTTGGAGGTCGCCAGGTCAACAGATGCTTTTCCTTATGCCTAAAGTTAGTGTTTGCTAAGAATAGGCGGTTGTCTGAGCATGCTTGCAACAGACGGTCACCATTGTCTGTTGTCTGAGCCGCGACACCATAACATCCACCTAGGTGTCTTTCTTTTTTACTTAGTCTACCTACTTGAGCATTGAAGTCACCAGCCATTATAACTATATCAGAAGGCTTAACTTTTTGGAGGAGGTCCGAAAGCTTTCTGTAGAACTTATCTTTCACATCGTCTGGACTGCAGTCAGTGCAGGCGTAGGCTGATATGACGAACAGGCAACGGCGAATGTCCTTATCCTTCCGAATCCTTACTGTCCCGTTTAGTCGGACGGCGCACAAGCGACTATCTACAGGAATCCAGTCAAGGAGAGATTGTTCTGCCCTACGACTCAATGCTATACCTACACCAGCGAGACCCCTGGAAGCAGCATCAGGGCTACCGGATACACGAAGGGTAAATCGAGCTGCTTCTTTATCTTGACATGGTGAGGTCAAATGAGTGATGCTACTCGGATCCTGTATGCGCGTTTCCGAGACGCAGCACACTTCGATGGCACGAGATTCTAAAGTCCTAAATAATGAGGCCTGTTGCCCTACTTGACACAATGTCCGTACATTAAGTGCTTCAACATGTAGTCTAGAACTAGGTTTCAGAAGACCAGGAATAACGTTTCGCAAACTCGTATTGTTTGAATTAGCGGTGCAGTGTGATAAAGGAATGTGAGAAGAGTTAGTCGTGGAGATAAGAGAGATATTAGGGCTAGTAAGAAGGATTTGATTATCACCGATTCGGTCTCGTGTGCTGGTACGGGTATGAGGGCGGCTGTCACTTTCCGGCTACCCACGCCGTGTAAGGTTGTTTCTAGAGGAACCTGAAAAGGAAGGTAGATTAGCGTTGGTTTTAACGACCCGGGAGCGTGACCGCAGAGCCAAAGCGACAACTGCTTGAGGCCGGTCAAGCACGGCCTTTTTATGAAGGATTATTTGAGTATTAGCTCCGCACTTAAAGGCCCATTGTGGCCACCCTTACCGACGGAGACCGAAATCAATGAGGTAAGGTGATGTGTGACACTTTACGGCCGACATTTCTAACCCTTCCTTCCTTGTGAGAAGGCACCACCGCTGCAGATGCTGGTTGTCCGAGGGAAACACCTTACTGCTGTCACACCCCTCTACAGTCAGCAGTACCACTGCGCCCTCAGACCTTAAGTAGCTGCTTATAGTCTCATTGTTCTCCAATCGACCTGCGTGGCATGGTAGAACCTTCAGGAACATGTGTTCAAGCCAATATAGCTCGGTTGAGTCATCACGATACAAGAACGGAGAGAGTAGACAATCCTGACGGACACCACTTGAAGTAATCAATTCCAAAGATATTTCGCCATAAACTATTACTCGACCAGTAGTGTTCGAATTGTGAGCTTCTATGAGGTTAATATACTTCTTCGGTACACCTTTTAATGACAGGCATCACGATCAACAGGGTCGACTGCCGCTTTAAGGTCGAGAAATACTACTATTGTGCGACGTCTGAACGTGTCTTTGTTCTAGGACCTGAGATAGTTTGTATATCTGGTCTATACATATAGGTCCAGGTCTGAAACCAACCTGTTTTCAATAGTCTTCTCTTGAAGAGCTATCATTAAGCTTCCGAGTACTATTTAGGCCAATATTTCGGAAACTATAATAGCTACACTTATTCTTCTGTAATTGTCACAAGAGGACTTCTGCCCTTAGAGCTCAATGTTGTTTTTGCGCAAGCGAGGCCACGGGAAGCAGCAGCAGGGCTCCAGATGCACGTAGCGTAAATCCAGACGGTTCTTTATCTTAACAAATTAATGGTTTCGCTCGGATTCCGAACGCGCGTTTCGGAGACGCAGCATACATCGATGGCACCAGATTCTAAAGTC